ATTGATAAGTTCTTGTATATGTAAGTGTGTATTACATATTAAAACAATGATTCTAATGTTTTGCAGGATTGACACAATAGCCTTTGGAATTTTGAGAGTATCAACGTACAGTCAGAATTGCTAAGATTTCAAAAGAAGAATGATATAAACTATTAGAAGGTGCTTGCATTTCATGCGGTCCACATGGCTGGATTCTTGTTTTGCTTGAAAGAGACAAAAGGGAAGAAATGAGACTATCGATCAAGTTGTGAGTCTTATGCTATTTGATTTGATGATCCCTTTTAATTTTTTTTAAATATTTAAATTCCTCTTGAAAATAATTTTATACAAAAATTATATTTTCCTAAATTATTTGATGAAAGAAATAAAATACTCCTCTAAAGAATTCATTGTAAGAACATTCATTGTTTTTATTTTTTTTAACTTTAGTCTTCAAATATTCGCTATTAATTTGTATTAAAAAATTAAAAAAAAATTTGAAATGAAAAATTATTTTTTAGTTTCAATAAGAAATTTGATGCGTAATGGATAAGGATCCTCCGAAGCTCGCACTCAGCATGAGCTAGAGAAGTGCATAAGCCCATCCTGGCTTAGGTTATTTCGTCATCTTCCTCACTTGCCAATGGCTGAACTTGGGAGTTTCTTTAGACGAGAGACGTATGGGTGGATAGCAACTGGTGGATGGCGGTCGACCAAGTGCTCCGATTTGGCGCTGGAGCTTTAGGGTTTACATATATAAAGGAGAGGAAAGAATACCCAAGTTCTTCGTTCACCATTCACGAAGAGGCGGGCTGCGACGGATTTTTCGAATCGGCACGATTTTTACAGAGGAATAGAAATTGAAACAATATTTCTTCCAAAAAGCATTTCAATTTTCCATTTGATTTCATATGTTTTATTTTTTTTTTTTTTTTTTTTTTTGCTCATACGGTAGAATAGAACCTTTAGAAATATGCATATGAACTCTGTCAATGTGGTCGGCATTCTTTTTTTAAAATTTTATTCAGTTCAAGGTAGAATCTTTCACCGAACTTAGTTCTTTTCAGTTTTGCTGCAGCCGCAGCAACTAAGAACATAATTGACCCGTTTTCCTCTTAGTTTTTTTCCTCTTTAACTGTTGATAGCTGTGACAATTGCATATTTCAAGTACCTTCTTTTACCGTCCTGAGCTATTTTCAATTATCTATTGCTTCAAATGCTTTGATATTATGGTCTTACCTATCATAAATTATGTAGCTTTATTGCTTATACAATTCCTTATGGTACAGAATTTCCAAACCTCAGCTATGTTTGGCTCATCTTAGGAAGCCATAAATGCAACATATTAACATTTTTAGTTCATGCCTTACCTTCCAATGTTGCTGCTGCTAGACTTTCATATTATAAAAAACTGTGCAGTGAGGCGAGTGGGGGCTAATCAATTGAAGTTTCATTAATTAGTTTTCTTTGTTTAACTTGATAATTATTTGTTGTAGGACTCCAGTGTTTTGTTTGTGATAATTTAATTTCTTTGTCCTTTTTTTTTATTGTAGGCTTATCAGCCTAAAATCTGATGCATTCATCATGCTTTTTTATATTGTAGATTCCAAATTTTAGGAATGTCGTTGAGATTTTTTAGGACATTTTTTTTTCTTTCACTTAAGTCATTTATAAAGATATTATGATCAAGAATATTTCTTAAAAAAATAAATAAATAAAATTTCCAAAAAATTGTCAAGACCTCATCCTATGTAATTCCTCCATTCTTTCAAACAAAATGATATTCTCATTGCATTATTTATTTTTTCATCATGTATTCAGTTGGTTGCAATAGTATGCATGTTGCAGTTTAGAATCACTCGTATATATTTGTATTCCAAGTAATGTGCTTGATAGCTAGCTTTATTTTCTCATTGTTTTAGTTTGATGTGGCAGGCTCTGAGAGTTCCCGTTCACAGGCTTGTACAGGCTGCTGATTCTATTTTGGTACTTCTGTTCCTTCATGTTCTTAAGTTGACATCATATTTAGTTTTTTATTTGTTTAATGGTGTAAACTTGACCTCAACTAATACCAAAGCTTGTCATTCATTTTTCTGTAATTGTAATTTCGTTCAGGTGTGCTTGTCAAAAGGTTTGGGAGCTCCTACTGGATCTGTTCATGTAAGTTCAAAAAACTTTATTGCAAAGGTAAAGGTATAAACCTAGCATGAAACACTAAGAACTATCCCTAAGCATTGCTTTTCACCCTACTTTCTTTATGTATTTTAGGCTAGAAGGCTTAGAAAAACCTTAGGTGGATGCATGAGGCAACTTGAGTACTTGTGCAGCTGCTTATGTTGCTTTGAGTGAGAATGTTAGCAAGCTTGAAGAGGATCATAGAAAAGCCAAAATAATAGAAGGTCCCATCTCGTAACTCCAGTTTTGCAAGTTTTGTTTATGTTTGCTAGTTTCTTCCATGAATGCCTCGATTTGTGAAAGAATTTGTGGCCTGGTGGTTGAACGGAAAATGTTTTTTCTTGGATCACAAATTCAAGTCAAATATTTGAGATTTATTACTTATCATTTACCAAAAAAAATCCAAACATGAGCTTCACTACTTATGATGATTAACTTATGAGTTTTGTTTACTATTCTTAATTATTTGAAATAATTCTTATGGTTGTTAAATTATTTATCTTTTTCAGAAGGATTGAGTCAAATTGAACAATTAGGGTGTGACACAAAGTCGGGAATTAAGTAAGATCAAAATTCAAATCAATGAAGATAAAAAAAAAATAATAACAACACTAAACATGTTAGAATTTTACATATAGTATTCCGTTGATTCCTGTCCTGCTTCTCCACTCTAGGTTTCACTATGTTTTCGCTTGTGTTGTGGTCCTTGTGGAGTATTTTAAAGTCTTGATCTCTCAAATATCATCCAAAGAGGTGGAGAGGGTGGTGTGGTGGTGGTGGTGAGGGGTGGGGTGGTGGGTGGGAGGGGGTGGGTGGAGTGCATATGGCATGCTTGATAAGAAATGTAAGAACTTTAACATTGATAGTTATTGTATATGTTAAGTGTGTATTGCATATTAAAACAATGATTCTAATGATTTTAGCCTTTGGGATTTTGAAGAGTATCAACGTACAATCAGAATTGCTAAGATTTGAAAATAATGCTATAAACTATTAGAAGTTGCTTGCATTCCATGCGGTCACATGGCTGGATTCATGTTTTGCTTGAAAGAGACAAAAAAGAAGAAAGGGGACTATCGATCAAGTTGTGAGTCTTTATGCTATTTGATTTGATGATTCCTCTTTAAATTTATTTAAATATTTAAATTCCTCTCGAAAATAATTTGTACAAAATTTAATTTATTTCCTAAATTTTCCAATGAAAGAAATAGAACCCTCTAAAGAATTCATTGTAAAAACATCCTTGTTTATTTTTTTAACTTTAGTCTTTAAATAATTGCTATTAATTCATATAAAAAAAATTTGAAATGAGAAATTATTTTTGAGTTTTTATAAGACGTTCTACAATAGATAATGGATCCTCTGCAACAGGGTAATCTCCGGCGCACTCAGCATGAGCTGGAGAAGAGCATCAGCCCATCCTGGATTAGCTTAGTAGATGCCTCCGGCTTCTGACATCAATCATGGATCCTACGAGGGTAAATGGCTTCTTGCCATCGCATCGGATCAAATTTTAGCTTTTAAAAAATGAGGAAAGTTGTGTTAATTTGTTGTCTTCCTCGCTTAGACGAGAGACGTATGGGTGGAGAGCAACTGGTGGATTGCGGTCGACCACGCAATAGATTGGGTTTTACCATATAAAGGAGAGGAAATAATACCCAAATTCCTTTACTATGATGGATTATTCGGTTCAGCGCGATTTTGATAGAGGAATATAAGTTGAAACAGTATTTCTTCCAAAAAGCATTTCAATTTTCCATTTGATTTTATATGTTTTTTTTCCTCATACGGTGGAATAGAACCTTTAGAAATATGCATATGAAATCTGTCAATGCAGTCGGCTCTCTTTTTTTTAAATCTTATTCAGTTCAAGGAAAAATCTTTCATCGAATTTGTTTCATTTTTACTTTTGCTGTAGCCGCAGCAGCTACCAACATAATCGACACGTTTTCCTCTTAGTTTTTTTTTCCTTGTTAACTGTTGATAGCTGTGACAATTGCATATTTCAAGTACCTTCTTTTGCCTTTCTGAACTTGTTTCTTTTTGGTGCTAATTGTTTGGTTATGCTTTACAGTTTTATGCTTCAATAAGGTCACTTTCCATAAATTAATTTCTACTGCGCGCATGGGTTCAATATATTTGTGGCGCTAGCAGGTAACAAGAAACATTTTTTTTTTTAAATCATTATTCATCATAAAAATTAATTTGTGCTTCTACAAGTCTAACCTGTTGTCTAATTTTAGCTTTTGATTATGCAAAACTGTTATGCTTGACTTTCAATTTTAGATGGAATGAATTAGATGTGCTTTAGTCGCGTGCATCTAAACCAGTTTGGAATGTAATTCAAAGCTAGCGACTATAGATAAGCTTTGAATAAAATCACAAGTCATGCAGATGAGATGTTATCTGCACAGTTAAGTAGCTTTCACTTATTCTATTACCTTTAAAAGCTTTTTGTTCTCTCCTATAATTTTGATTTCTTCTTGCAGAATTAGCTGGTCTGTGCATAGGCCTTTGTTGTTGCAAAGGTTTTTCTCATGAAAGAGTTCTTGCAATGATAATATGGTATGGTGAATTTGCTTCTTTGTTTTCACTAGACACTGTTATGACAAACAAGTTTTATTATTAAGACAAAGAATTCAAATGCTCACCTGAATTTCATAATTTGCTGATAGTACATAACCTACTTCTCTGGAAAGCATATTAAATTCTTTGAAAAGTTTCATATCCTTCAGGGCTCCTTTGGCTTTCCTTGAAGCTTCCAAAAATAAATTACATATGGAGTCTCCTGCCAATGGTATAATGGAAGGTATAAGATACTTAAACACTTTTGCCTTGATTTTACGCTTATGTATATTAGCTTGAAACATTTTTTTTTTTTAAAATGAGAATATGCATTACTTAAAGGGCCTCAGGAAATTATCATAAATTTTTATTTTGCTGTGCAATATTATTTCTTTCTTTGCCTTGCTATATATCTGGAAATCATCTCTAGGTTGAAGAGAGCCGTAGCTTTTTTTTTTTTTTTTTTGATGAGAGCCGTAGCTTTTTATTTCATAGAATACAAAATTTCGGGAACGTAGATTAAAATATGATTCATAGTGTGGTTACCTTCTGGATTGAGCTGAGGTTCTTTGTTTTAACTTGCAGCAGCAAACAATAGTGAAACAATAAGAATGATAATGGATGATGCCATTTTCATTTCCATCCTTACCTGAAAGAAATCAAATTTGATCAAAAGACTAAAATAACTTGGAATCTAGTGAGGATTGGGATGTGTTCTACAAACAACTAACACAATAGACTGCTAAACCCTAAATCTGAATGAAAGGGAGAAACAAAAAATCAGTATTTCTTCCAAATCAATTTTCTATTTAATTTCATATGTTTTAACTATGTTATTGCTAATATGGTAGAATAGATCCATTAGTAATGTTCAAATGAGCTCTTTCTATGCTATTGACTCTGTTTTTTGTAAATCTTATTCAGTTCAAGGTAGAATCATTCATCGCAATCGACAATCATCGAACATGTTTCTTTTCACTTTTTCTATAGCCACAACAGCTACGAACATAATTGACCCATTTACCTAACATGCTTAAACAACTTGTTCTATGTTCTTTATCCAGGACAAAATAAGGGAGGTAACAAAGCGCTTCTTCATCTAAAAACATGAAAATGGTTACCAGAATAGTGGATCTTAGATTTGATACTGTGATGTGATGCGAGCTGCCATGGCTAACACTGATGTGAATGATGATGCCTTAGGAACAGACCCTACGACATTTTGATTAGAGTCTCAGGTGGCCAAGGTTATCTAAAATGAAGCCTCTATCAAGGAAGAGATGCACTATCAGCAGGTTAATTATGATAACATTGAAGGGATCAAGGCTCTTAACCACGAAGGAGCCAAATTGTAGGTTAGTGTTCTTGTGGGAAAGATTTGTGCCTTTTAAGTTATTTGAGTTAAAGAAGTTTCATTTCGTTTATATGATTGTGATGTTCGACATGGTTGGGATTTTTTCAGTGGATTGATAAGGAAGGAAAGACTCCATCGGTTCTTGCTTGTATGCGACCTGATCTTCTACATGTTGCGAAAGTTCTAATCAAATTGGGTGCGAATGCGAATGCTTATCGCCTTGGTAGGAGGCTTGGATTCCTTCTAGCTTTTCATGATTTATTTGTAATATTAATTTGAGAAATCGATGCGGAATTCTTTTGATGAATAAATCATAAATTTTGTATGCTCAATTCATAATTTTGGATTAAGGAACTGCTCCTTCAGTTTTATTTAAATTATTTGTGTTTAGGATTCATTGAGAGAAACTTTAAAAGTCATACTTATGAATGCTAATTGCCATAGAAGTTGGCTTGCCAAGTTTAAGTAAAACCTGTAGCTAATATGAAGATCTTATACTTCTTTATGTTACTGTAGGAAGTCATCCAGGAACTCCTTTGCATCATGCAACAAAAAGAGGCCTCGATAGTGCTGTTATTCTACTTCTTTCTCATGGAGGTATATGTTCTTAAGCAATTTTCTTCCTTTCTAGAAGAACAACTTAGTTTCCCTAAGAATTCTTAGCTGGATCCAAGACGTAAATTTGAATGCTGCACTCAACCTGATGTCATCATAAAGGAATGTCTTGCTATATATATTACAAAATAGGTAAAAGAAAGCTTATTTTATTTTTATTTTTTTGTTATTAATGATCTGAAACCATGCTTTTTTCATTTTCTTACTTTTAAATCAATCTAATTGGTAGAAATATACTTTTGAAGCTAATGACTGATTGGAAATTGATGGATGAACTTAAAATTCTCATACAAGGTATGATTTTATTGGTGAGATTGATTGTTTCATTTTAGTGCTTTTTGTATGCTTACAATTTTATCTCATAGGTCTCTTGTCCTCTTGACCTGATAATTAATGCAGAGATATTGAAGAAATATAATCAAGTAAAGTTACCTTGATGGTGTCGTTTTTCTTCCTTCCATTAAGATTGGTTATCCTTATAATTTTGATTACTTTTGTTTTTCATTCAGGTCATGGATTTCCTTCTGAAGGTCAAACGTGCAAAACATTTGATCAATAAAGCTCGAAGATGGATGTGGAAGGTAAGCATGTAACTTAAATTTCTTCATTCATTTGCAAAATCTTATTCTAGACTTCGGATTATATATAAATATATTAAAAAAAACTAACAGATTTTGATTTTTCCAAGTAGGGGAGGATTGCAGTGCAGAATCACAAACATCACTTGTTAGTGGAACAAAAACTTGTCCATTTTATTGATGCATTTCATCAATATGTATTGGATTGAGTAAAAGGTCGTTCCCTTATTTTCCATTGGCATGCAAAAAAAAAAAAAAAAATCATTGCCAGAAAGCTGATCCATTCTCATTAACAGGTATTTCACAGTACTTGGATTGAATTCTGCACTGCCATGTCTGCTGCAGGCTCTCTTGATGAAGTTTTAGAAGTTCATGATGCCTACCTTTCATCGATCCAACGACAATGTTTTGTCGGCCCAGATAAGCTAGTTCAGTCAATCAATTAACCTTCACTACCTTTGCATTCTAATGAATAAAAATATAAATGGGCATTTTGCTGAAATAAGTTCATTTAATTTATGGCTATATCATATTACTCCATTCGAAAGCCTTTATAATTCATTGTTTTATTGTTCAATTATTTTTATGCTAGATTTTTCTCTGCTGAAGGCTAATATAATGAAATGCATATTTTCTTTGATGTTTCAGCAAATCTTTTAGTGATGAATGATGATTGTCAAATCCCTCTTGAATTGGCCAGAGCCAAATTGCATTCCAATGTTTTGCTTGCTATTGAGGTATTGTTGAAAGTTAATTCAAAATGGCTTAAGTTTTGTTCCTCTTTTATCCCTTCGTTTAACTTAATTTGAGAAGTTGCCTTATCAAGTTCTTTTCATTGTAGAATCGTATGTGTTTATTTGCTTGTTGGCTAAGGGAGATTCATGGGCCAAGCATTTTGGAAGCATTTGCTCCTCAATGGGTGTCAAAGAAAATGTTTGTATTGTGTTTTTCTTTTTATATTCTATTCTACTAGTAGTTTTTAGAAATTCAGTTATTGTGTATTAATATGGACGGTTTCTTACTAAATCATCTTCTATTTAACAATTGGGTTGTTGTTGTACCCTGTGATTCTCGTAATGTCACAAATCTAAGGAAGTTTGAGCTGGTTATATATCATGATCTGCAGGTATATCAAAGAGTTAGATGCTTAGGGTCTGATTGGGATTACTTTTGCTTTTCATTTTCATTTTTATTTTGTTCATGTTTTAACTTGAAGCAAAATATATTTGATATTCTTATGCATTTACTATTTTCAAAAGCTAAAAAAAAAAAAAAGTTTGGCTTTGCAATTTTAATGTTTCTTATATTTGGAAAACAAACTTGAAAAATGATAATATAATGACTTCATTATAAGTAATAGTTTTTCTAAAGCCTGAGAATAATATAATATAAGTAATTGTTATTCTAGAAATTATGCATTTTATATTTAATATTATAATTTATATAACATTATTATAAACACATTTGTATTAAAATTAAAGGCAAATGCAATACTGTTTCGTAGAGATTGAAATTAACACAACAAAGTTATCTTCAATGAATTTGAAAATTTTACCCTATATAAAAGATCTAAAGCACCATTCAAAAGAGAAATTTGATCAACAGCTTTTCCATCAAATAAATTTAAAAGGAGTCCAAATCTACATGATCACAATACTTACAAAATCCCAACCTTCGGATGCATAAGAGAAATACTTAGATACCCAAAACAATGGTTAAACAAGACAAGCTTTAAAATTATGCACTTGGGTATTCATGTGCAAGCCTTAAGGTAATTTGAGACATAAGTATCATAGTTAAAAAATTCTATAAAGTTAAATTATCCTGTTAGTTGTTAAATGATCACGAAAGATAGTGTAAAATTAACATCAATGACAATATATGACACCTATTGATGTATATCTTCTTAATGTTTCAGTTATAAGATTATCATTTTCATACATCTCAAATAACATATCTCCTTCAAATTGTGATTTCATAAAATTATATAGTGTACAATAAGCAGTTATAATATATTATTGTGCACGCAAATCATAAGGATGAATTTTATTAATAATTGAAAATCTTGCTTTCAATACTCCAAAGCATCTCTCAATAACATTTCTCAAAGAAGAATGTCTATGGTTGAAAATTTCGTATCTTTGAGGCTAAGTGCCCTTGTGTAATCACACAAATGATTTCTTGATATTCTATATGCTAATAAAAAACCAGTTTGTTGGCATATCCTAAATCAAGTAGGTAATATTTTTTTTGTTTAAAATAAAAAGTTACTTAAAAATAAATAAAAATACTTACTTAAAATGAAAAAAATGAGCACCTTTTGGTGACATAAGAAACTTTAATTGTGTACTTCACATATTCTAAAAGTATCTTAACATCATTTTCTCTTATTTAGGAACATAAACAGTCACATATGTTCCATTAATTGCACCCATACAACCTTATTCATATAGCTTATGAATAAACAACTTTTTTTATTAGAGTACATAAATTAAGAAATTCTTTAATTCCTACATACCTTTATAAGAGGACAATACTTTGGATTTTATTTGATATTAGGAGCAGACTATCTCCAATGATGTAGTAATAAATATCTCAATTCCTAAATGACTGGATGCCTTCAAAGTTTTTTAAAAATAGCATGAGATTGTATCGTTCTTTAGAGTTCAAAGGGATATTTGTGAATGTATGTTGAAGTTTACCTATTGCAATGGTGGTACATTAAGTGCAACAAAGAGACTCAATTGGGCATCTTTTTTAATGAAATGTCCTTGAACTTTATTGACCTATTTATTGTTAATCAAGCATTATTAATGTGCATGACTATAAAATGTTAGTTTTGAAAAAGTATATTATTAGATAAATATCTTATTTAACTTGGACCAAATATCTTCTGCATCAATCACTTGACCTGTGGTTGATTTATAACCGACTGCGACTTCCTACAGCGAATTAGAGTATTGAATTTTATTCATAATTGATCATGCTTATATTTTTTTTTGTTTTTGCTTAGAAAATAGCCTTGAATGATGCATGACCATGTTGCTGAACTAGAAGTAGTTCGTTCATTTCCACAAGTTTTATGAAAGTTTGCTCTCTTTTTCTTAACCATATTGCCTCTTCACTAATTTCAATTATATCATTATTGTCAACAATCCTTCAATAAAACAACAACATCAAGCCTTTATCCCACTATGAGGGGTCAGCTACATGAATCCTTTTTCTCCATTGTGTCTGGTTAAGAGTCAAATTCTCATTTAGATCTAATAAAGAAAGGTCATTTCTAATATTTTCTAACCAAGTCTTTTTAGATTTACCTCTACCCTCCTTAACATAGATTTAATCTAATACATCTACTCTCCTAACATGGTCATTGGAAGGCCACCATTTTATGTCACCAAACCATTTAAGAAGACTCTCTTTAATCTTATCTGCCTTTGGAGTTACTCAAACATTTTCACGTATATGCTCACTTCATATCCTATCTCTAAGAGTAAAACCACTCATCCACCTAAGCATCCTCATATCTGCAACACTTAACTTAATATTATGCTTCTCTTTTAATGACCAACTTTCTGCGCCATAAAGCATTTCAGGTTTAACCACCATCTTCTAAAATCCTTCAATAGATAAATAAATTTAGAAAGTATGAACAAATGTATTTTTTCAATTAGTAATTATCTAGACTATAGTTAGAAAGCAACTTGTATACAAAATATTTATTGACAATAAATGAAGGGTTAGGATTTAAAATGTAATGCTTATCCAAAAAATATATATTGAGAGATAAGAACTTTTAAATGAATGAACATTTATTTGATATAGTTCTAGATTGCAAAAGGCCAAGATCAAGATTAAAAGGCCCTATCGTATCTTGTCCATTTAGATTTAACTTAAAACAGTTTACTAATTTGAATTAAGCCATATGCTTCCCCTCCTCTCCACCCATTGGAAACAGTTTACAAATTTTAATATCCTCTATGTCAAAAATATCCACATGCTTCCCCTCCTCGATCTTTGCCACCTCCTCTCCACCCATCGAAAGCTGACCATCCCCTTCATCATCATTCTCACTCCTAGCAATCTTCTGACCTCTCCCCACTTCTTTTCTCCTTTCCTCCTGTCTTCTCCTCTTACTTTTCCCATGAATGATGTGAACTACTAGTTACCCCCAAATCTCTATTGCCACCTACTTCTCTTTTTTTAATTAAAAGATATAAATATCTATGTTTCATCTCAAGCTTAATAAATCTAGCATAAGATAAATCCAATCATCGAAAATAAAGCCATTAGACCAAATCGACAATCCCTTCTATCAGAGCTTCCATGAAATAGATATTTAGAGAGAGAGAGAGAGAGAGAGAGAGAGAGAGAGAGAGAGAGAGAGAGAGAGAACAGATGAGTCTCTATAACACCAAGTTGAATAAGAAGAGGGTATGAAAAGGGTCTTTGGGCGGGTGTAGAAATTGGAATCAAGATTTGAGGAAAACAAATAGTCATGAAAATGATATTTTGAAAGTACAAAAAATACTTAAAATTTGTTCTTTATGTTTTTCAAAACAAATCAAATTTTTTTAATTATAAAATACTTTAAATGTGTAAAAAAACATATTTTTATTTTTGTTTACAATTTTTTAAAAACAAAAAGAAAACAATATTAAACAAAAAAGTAATCCTAAGCAAGCCCTTAAGTTCTAGCTAATTGTCATTTTCATTACATGAGTTCATGGAATTTACATCGAGGTTCTTCTGAGTTTTGACATGGAAACTCTTAAGTTCTTCAACTTATGGGGAGATTTTGTCTAACTCCCTACCAATGAAATTGTTAATGATTGACCCGCTGTTTCTTATTCTGCACAAAGGAACCCTGCCTGATTCACTAATTCGTAGGAACTTTTGGATTTGAAAGATTTTTCGGGATATCTTCTTACGAAGTTTCCAGATTCCTACAAGAAGAAAATGATTAGAAATGTTGTCGAGGGCCCCTACTAGTACAGTTATATATAGATCTGATCGTCCCTGGTACTAAACCTAATTATTATTGAAGTCACCCTAATACAAGAGTAGCGGTAGTACTAGATTTCAGAGACAGGAGGCAAAGAACAATTACTAAGGATTCCTCCAAACAACTTAAAGAAGAATTGGAATAGTACCTTTATACGCCTGACAGCTAATATCATTGTACCTGTTTCACTCGGGAAAGCAACTCTAGCCTATACTCTTTGTCTTGAATCACAGAGGAAGGACAAGAGCTCGGACAACAACTACCATCAATCATACAATCACTATTGCGGGAGTGGAGATGTATTTTAAGGAGCAGGTGTGTGTGTATGTGTGTGTGTACGAGATAGGAAGAGGTTATGTAGAAGTAAGGTTTAGTAAGGGGGCAGCCCTTTGGCCATGATGATAAAAAGAGTGTTTCTTTATAAACATGAAGAAAATCTAATAAAAATTCAATAATAACATAAAATATAGTTAATGTGATAACTACTTAACCATATCTAATCTGTAAAAACATTGTAATAGCTTTAAATTATCCTAAGAATTCTCCTAGGGACTTTCTTTGGTTGTCCATGCTTTGTTAAGATAAGAGAAGTAATAAATATATATATATATATATATACTATATGTATAAGTCTCTATATCTGGTATGAGAGTAATATATGATACGGTTATAATATAACTTACTAATATATTATAATGCCTCTATCCGCCTATAAAATTCTCTCTCTCTCTCTCTAGTCACCTTGGATAATTACTTTGATAAGTAGGTTTCATTAGCCTCGACTATATGTAGCGCTTGGAAAGTTCATATAGAGGAGCCAAAGTTCAACCTGTCTGATCCTACATTGATTTATCACAAAACTTGCTACTAAAATAAGCCCCCTTAATCAAACTAATAGTAATAATCAATATACTTTACATTTTTTTTTAGTTGCAATTTTATTTAAAATTTGTAAATCTACAGAGAGTTAACACTCGTAGTATTCTTGTCCTATCCTTGGACGGTTATGGTTTCATCCCTTTGAATTTAATGAAAGCACATGGTATTTGAAAGCATAATGAAAACATATTCATCCGACATTAAATGGAAAAAAACATAGAAATCGACT